TCTCTGTCTCTCTCTCTCTCTATGTCTGTGTGTCTCCGTCTCTTTTTATCTTTTACTGTTTTTCACCCTCTCTCTCTCTCTCGCTTGCACTTGTCAGACTCTTTGCAGCCTTCGAGACAGCGAAGGTGCACTCCCTGCACTTCGGCGTGTTCTTCGGAGATGACAGGCGCGATGGCGAAAGCATACGGGAACCCTCTGCTGGAATCTGCACGAGGCAGACTCCGCTGAAGCTGTCGTCTGCGCGGCTATGTCCGGAGGCAGGGCATGGCGGGCAGTCCTTTCGACGACGTCCATAGTAATCTGAAGCACCTTACAGCTTTGTCCCATCGGGCCTATGATCCGATGCGCTGAAGGCACTGTCTTGGGCTCCTTCCACCAGCAGCGAGGCCCGAAATTCATGCAAGGGTACACAAAGCAAAGACAAGCTGCATCAGCGTGCAACGAGTTCCCTCCTGCTCTCCTCGTGTTGACGCCATGACAATCGTGCTTTAGCATTGTCGTGGCTGCTTCTAGCATTCTGGCTCCAGAGTCAGAGCGGTTCACGAAACATCTGCCTGGGGAACTTTCGATCTTGCTTCCGACCGGGACCTCGAACGGAGGATCAGCAGAGCGGCTGCGCCTCCTCGTGCTGCGTCTGCTTCTGCCCTCGCTGCTATCGCTCTGGGATTCTGGCAGCTTCAATCCATCAGCGGCTGCAGACTCAATTCACTGTCACTAGAACTCTCGGTGAAGACAGCCCTTCCACGTAATTCATGCGGCCTGGCTGCCAGGCTTCTGTCGCAGGAATCGTGCCTGCAAGCAGCGTGAAGCAAAGCAGCATGTGGCCTGTATCCAGTTATTGCCTCCTGCCGATCTTGTGACACAGCTGCATCCACCCGACAAGGAAGCAGCATCGACAGGCCAGCCCTTCAGGCAGACCTGTGCCGGGGACTGATGACCGGAAGCCAGCAGCTAACACTGTAGATTTTGTCCCAGAGGTGCCGCATGATCTGAAACAATCGAGGTAGTGCGCACGAGCGCTTTCTTGCTGACGTCTTCTTGCCATGGGCAAAGACGCAGGAGAAGGGTGCGTAATTCCGCTACCCGAGAGCTCACAACATCTGCGTGGTGACTTCTGGAGCTTCAGGAAACCTCGGAGCGCCGGAGCGTGGCTTGGCTGCTGTGCAACGACGGCGAGGCATTGCGAGCTAGAGGGGCTAAGGCGGTCGAGGCGGTCCAATGTGGGGAATGTCGTGTCGCGAAGGCCTTCACCCTTGGCCAGGCGATGCTGGCTTTTGGGAAGGCCTGGCAGCCTTCAGAAGCCCCTATATCACAGCAGACGGTTGTTGCAGAGAGGGCCGATGCTTAGGCATTTCGTTCACGCGTTGGGCTGTTCGCTGCCAGTTTCCCAAACACGCGTCTCGTTCTCCACGTGGCAGGCTCTCGGATCCGACGAGAGGCTTACGGACATTGCGCGGTTCTGGGCGCTTCGCCGCTTCTGTGCGGTTTTTGTTTCCAGGTGGCGCGCCACGGTCCTCGTCGTAGACCGAGCCAAGTCCAACGAGTCCGAGCCGGCCGTGGAGGCTCCTCCCAGCAAGGAGTACCGACACAGCAAAGATGATGTCTGTTGTGTCGGCTGGCGCGGGAGGTTTTGTTGCAGCGCTGGGTGATGTCAAGACTTTCCAGCATTGATTGAAACCTGATACCTCTCGTCGATGTTTGCCGCTCGTATCCCATGCCATGCTGGAGAAGCTCGATTGTGCTTTTCCCTGCTTAGCCGCCTCGGCAGGCCCTGGCGCTTGCCGAGGGCGCCCGGCGGATGGTCTTCGACATGATCTAAAGACCTGCTCGGAAAATCGGGATTCACCATCGAGGTGAGACCCAAAAAGGCATGAAGCAAGAGCGACCGGATTTCGGTCGAATTCGGAGCAGACGGGTTGCCATCGCACGGGAGCCTTCGGTGGTCCTGCTTTCGGGGTGTGGTTCAGTGCCAGGTTGCTGAAATTCTACAACTCCAAAGACATTCGGCTGGAGGAGATCGCGTACGTTGCCATTGACGAGGCACCATTGAAATTGAAGTACTCGGTCTGCGCAGTCCCTGCGGAAGCCGGGGCAGGCGGACTTCCTTCTCACCCAGGGCTTCGATGACTTGTACAAAATCCTGGACCTAGTGGACCAGGATTCGAGGCCATGGCGTGATGCTATCTCGAAGCCAGCATGGGCAGTGATCGAGCTTACTCCTTCCGCAGGCACAAGCGTCAGATGCGCTACTCCTTGATAACTGCCTCCTGGCTTCACGGGAGAGGTCGTTGTGCAAGTTTTAAGGACACTGAGCTGTGATGCCCGCCGAGAAGCCTGCAAGGTCCAAAACGGAGCCCCCCCCCATCAGCCCCCGAGTTTTGGCGGCATGGAGGGTCCGTTCGATGTGACAACATGTCTCGCTACCGGTGCCGTACTTCTCGCAGGCCACCTCTACCTGTGCGGTGGTGGCTTTGTATCCATGAAGGACCGGATCCTTCAACAATGTCAATCGTCCGATGCGCCGGCGCAAGTGGGCCGGGTCAAAGACAGTCGCGTGGACGAAGCCTTCCTCCAACTCCGACAGAGAATTACCAGAATTTCGCAGGAGTGCACCCTTCATGGAATATGCCTGGCCTTGCTTTGGTTCTTGTACGAGTTTGCTACGAGACCAGGGCGAGCTCAAGCTATGAGACTTGCAGCCACCCTTTGTCCGTACTCGCTGAATGTACTTCTTGCCAGAGAGAAGATCGAGCTGACTAGGAGGAACCTCCAGGTGTCCCAAGCGCTGTATATGCTCACCTTCGGCATCTTTGTCTTGGCGGGATCTGTTCCAGGAAGTAGTTATAATGATAATGCAACTGATCCGGTCGCCCTTCAAGCATTCCAACTGAGCTGTCGTTTTTCAATGACGGTGTTCTTTCTGGATACGGCCTTGGTTGTTCCGTGCCAATGCCTGGTGTCTCTGGCAGAGTGCTGGGCTTACAGTCCAACCCGTGGTGATTCTGCGACTTCCTTCATCTTTGCCCAGCTTGTGGTGGTGATCATAAACGGATCGCTCTCTCTGGCGCTGGAATTGTGTGTTCGATCCCACCTTCGCGCCTCACTGGCGTCGGCAGATGCAGAATCCATGGTGCAGGGCTTCCGACACGTCCTTCGCGGCATCTGCGATGGCGAGGTGCAGCTCGGCTTAGCAGGATCCTTTCCGCACGTCTTTCTTTGGATGAGGCACTTAAAGACGGTTTCTTTTGGTGCCGAGGTTGCTCGACAGCAAGATGCAGATCTGCGGGGAGGGGAAGTGCCTCCAGCACCTGCTCATGACGGGAGCCAGCCTTCAGGGCCGAAGCTTCGTGGACTTGATTTGGGAGGAGCAGAAGCGGGAGTTTCACAAGTTTCTGGAGGTGAAGGGCTCCGAAGAAGCGGCGCCGGCTTGTCTCCGCGCCTCGCTCCGGGGCTCTTGCAGCATTCGAGTGGCGGTGGATCTCTTCCATGTGCCCTTGGAGCTCTACGGGGAGAAGCATCACTTGTTCGCCTTTCGTGAGGACGGGGAGCTCAGGGAGGTTCAAAGGCAGGCCGTGGAAGGAATGGATGTGGAAGCGTCCATGTTGGGGAGGATGCCAGGGGCAGAGGCACCTTCGCACCCCTCGCAGCCCTCGCACTCCCAGAGACAAAATGACCCGGGTTCCGGGTGTTCAGACAGCTCTGTTGGTGCTGGATGCGTGTTCTCGGCATACCCTGCCCTCTCAGAAATGACCTTGCTGGTTGACACAGCCACGCCGAAGTGTGACGTCCGACAAGCACATCTAAAGTACCGAGCCGATCGAGAGCGAGACAGAGAGGAGGGCCAGGCTTCCCTTTCCTCGCCTTCTCTGAGAAAGCTGGTGCTTCCCCTGGACTGGGAGACGATCCGCTCCAGGGCCACACGCTATGTCCGGAAGGCTCAGCAAGGCCGAGCAGAGCCCAAGAACGTGCACGGGATACGGCTGAGGACAGAAAGTTCACGGAAGCTGGTCATTGCCAAGACTGCCACGTTGCTCCCTGCCCAAAAAGACCCAGCCTCACTTGTATGGGTGCACCTCTTGGATTTCGTGGAAGATAGCTCCAGATGCAGACAGCCACCAGATCTCGCCGGCATTCGCGAATTTCGGTCCGCGACTGGCGTCTGCAAAGCAGCAAGCGAGCCGAGCCTGAAATCTGGTCTCGAAGCGGTCGAGGTCCAGACTTAGATCTTTAAGTGGGCCGCCTTATTCGGTGCCTGAGTTCCAGAGACAGATCCCGAAGAAGCCCTCCGAAGAAGAGCCCGATGCCTTCTTTCGCTAGAGTTTCCACAGAGTTTCTGAGATCCTCCGATGAGCGCGACACACCGAGGCCAGCATCACGAAGCCCTTGTGGGGAGACCCAAGCTCGGATTGCCCCACTTAAAGGATCATGGGACTTAGTAAGTAGGGTTATAACTAGGGCAACTATACTTATAACCCCAATTAGGGGACTTACAACCTTACTTACTAAGTCCCATGATCCTCCAAGTACTTGAGGGTTTAGGAGTTAGGAGTTTAGGGCTGTGTGGCGCTATGGTTTCCGTAATGATAACAGCAACACTCATCGTAGCTTGCGAAAGTGTTGTGTAGGAGTTTTCTAGCATGCAGCCCATGCTCGCTTCGCCACGACAGGGCTCGGGGTCGCTTGTCTTGAGAGCAACTGTTCAGGTGGAAGATTTTCCAAGAAGATCCTCGATTCAGGCCGGGAGCCTCGAGTGATCCCGTCTTTAGGTGTATATAAAGACTTCCGCGTGGAGTTGGATGGCGGCGACCTGACTGACAGGACGCTGAAAATACTGGAGTCCAGATCGCTTCATAGGCCGCAGGCGACCTGCTAGCAACCACTGCATCCAAGCGGGATTTTGGGAGAAGTGCATTACCTCGGCTAGGCAAACTGCTCCCACACCATGGTGCTCACGAAGGGACGCTGCAAAGTCAGAATGCTGATGGGCCCTTAGCCACCTCTGCATCTCTCTGAGGTAGCAGTTTGCAGCTTTTTTCCACGAGTTGTGGTCCAAGGGTGCAGCTTGTCCAGAGAGACCTCGGGGAGGAAAGTCTCCGCCCGGCCCCGAGAAACGCCACCTCCGGCCTAAGCGGAAGCAAAAGCCAAACTACGGTTGATGATATAAAGCCTGCATTACCCATATTAAGGAATATACCATAATTCCTATAGTTTAGGGTCCTTAAGGTAATGCAGGATTTATATCATCAGCTGTCGAGCCCCAAAAGCCCAACCCAAACTACAAGAGACCCAGGCCCAAAACCTCCCTAAACCCCTAAACCCAAAACCCTAAACCCTAAACCCTAAACCCCAGGCGAAGGAAAAGAGGTCTTCAAAAAAACCCTAAACCCCAGACCCTAAACCCCTAAACCCCAAACCCTAAACCTCAGCGCCTGAAGCCAAGGTCGCGGGATGAAGCCGAGGCAGACCATGGTCTTCTGCAACACCCTCTCCTCTTGCAAGCCTGGGCCCTCGCCGACTGGGGGTTGAGGGTTTCTTTAGGGATGTCCAGGGCATCGGGTTTAGGCTGCAGGGCCTCAGGGCCTATAAGTTTTATGACTTTGGGGTTTGGGAATTAGGGTAGATACAGACTCTAGACTTTTTTTGTGTTGTCGTCTTTTCCAGCAGACGATGCCGAACTGTTTCATGCACGTTGGTGTACTTCGGCTGGTCTTGTTGCAGGCAGGAGCCTCGCGCTGTCAGGTCAGTTGGCTACCAGCTGAAAGAGAAGTACAGCCATGTGCAAGAGCAGGGAGCTCAGTCACAGTGGCCTGAGTCTAGTCATTCTGTATTTCCCAGCAGTGCCGGGATGACTGTTTGTAGCTGGTTTGCAGCACGTAGCCTGCTGCTTGTGCTCGCAGGGAGCCTCCGACAGCTGCACTGCAAACCGTACAGTCAACTCGGCTGTGCCAACATTCGTCCGGGTGACGGCGGTGATGGCAAGAAAGGTTGATTGTGGAAGGTTAGTGTCCCTGTGCTTGCATGCGCCGGCCGGGGCAACCCGGGTAGTCTCTCCAATCTTCAGACCACCCCTTCTAGCCTCAGGGGATGCTCTGGATTGAGGTACCCTGAACGGTATCGGAACCCTGATTGGGGATGCTTGACTTGAGCCCTGCAAGTTGACCGTGACAGTAGCCATGCCAACAACAAAGTCAATGAACTAGCATGGCAGTGCTACAGATGGTTGTAGTCCTAGTAACATATGCATAGTCAGCTCGTTTAGGGTTTAGGGTTTAGGGATGCTGCTCGTGGGGGTCGGATTCTGATGGGTTTCAAGGCTCCAAGCCTGAATTCCTGGACTGCAGCTGTGGCCGAAGCTTCTTTTAGGAGACACATTGTCGAGTAATTCGTAGGGTAAGTCGTCCTAGGCTTCACCCCGCAAACGCGCGTTGTGTCCGCTTTGCGCCTGCGCTGCGTCTTTGTCCGGAGTCGTCATGATGAGGGGATCTGATGAGCATAGCGGAAGGATCTGCCTGCTGCTGCTTAGAACCTGCTCGACTTCTCTTCTTCCTGCATCCCTTCTCCTACGCTGCTGCTCTTGCTCCAGCTACTGCTACTGCCAATGCCGCTTCCACTGCCACTACCACTGACACGACCACTACCAGCACCACCACCATCACCATCATCACCACCATCCCGCCGACGATAACAGCAACAACTACCACTTCTGACTCTGCTCCTGCTCCTGCTGCTGCTCATCTTCATAACACGTCGATAAGTAACGTTTCCTACCGTCGCCATGCATGTGATTAGAGTAGAAGCTTGCAGTTCTTGTCTATCTTCTTTCAGTTATGCACCAAACCAATAGTTTTTCAGAAGCCCGGCCGCTACAGCCGCCATTATTCGTATTACTATCCTTGCTGCTCTGACCGTCACACACACACACACGAACACGAGCAGACATGTGGAATCTGGGCCGAAGGGAAGCTCGAAAGCTCAGCTCAGAGCCCTTCAGAAGCACCAACCAAGACGGAGACTCCGAGGAAGATCGGCATGCTGCACAAAGAGATGCAGACGGCTCCTTGGCTGCAGCCCGCAGGGTTCAGTCACTTCTGCGAGGCCCTACATACCCTGAACTCCTAAAGTCATTAGCCAAAAAGCTACAGAAAGGGGGTAGACGGAACCAAGGTCGACCGACGAGAGGTTCTGCGGAAGCCGCGAGCTCTGTCGAGATGGAAGGGGTCCAGGCTGCTCTTCCAGGGATTGGGGTTTCCGGCAGTGAAATTTGTCTTTCGAGCGGTCTGTAGGACTGACTGAAGGCCCAGCCCGAAGGGATTTCGACCTCTGCAAGGGGCAAACTTTTGGAAGCCCCGAGGTTCGTTGAAGGCGAGTACAATGTGCTGGTGACCACGGACCTGGCCCAGAGGGGTTTGGACCTCCCAAATTGCGAGTCTGTGCCTCGGAACGTATCACTCACCATGACAAATAATTACTGTGCATGTCGGATCCAGTCTAAAGCGCACGACCGACGGCCACACATTGCGTCGGCCCAGAAGTTATCTTCTTAGCATGCAGGGCAGTCCGCTGTGGTAAGGGGTGGGCGAGTGCAACGACCGTGTTGTCGGCGTGCGCCAGCTGCTAAGCAGAGCATGGGTCCCAACAACGACTCGGAGCGACGTCAAGTCGCGCAGCTGATGGAAGCACTGCCGTCGAGTCCGTGGGAGGCTATGTATGAGGAATGTCGTTTGCGTTGGTAAGCATCCTTTGCTGCTGGCTACTTCCCGAGCCTTCCAGCGCTTTTTCCGGCAGGTTGGCTGCCTCGCCCTCTTGAGCTTTAAAGGTCAAGAGGAGGAGGCGGCCAACCTCCGGCAGAAGCGTTTGAAGGAAGTCGCGGCTGACGACAACTGCAGCACAGCAGGGAACTGCAGAAAGTGGAGGCAAGGATACAAGAGGAGATGTACGCTCGGAAGAAACAAGGGCCGCACTGTCGGGAGGCAAGCGCTAAGTCGAAAGAGAAGAATAATATGTCTGGGTCAGAATCGGACGGTAGCAGCCACAAGAAGTTGCATCGCACTGTGGAGGCTCCAAGATACTGAGCCTTAGACCAGTCCGTTAGTCCAAAAAACTGAAAAGATATCCATTGTTAGGCCGCCGATAATCCTATTGCTCGGAATATCCCTCATGCCTGTCCGACTATGAGACCTCGCCACATGTTCCGGTGACACAAGAGCGGGTGGAGAGCCATCTGCACGCACACTGAAGGCATGTTGTGAACTTCGACTTCCCACTCAATTCCATTGTGCGCGCCCCAGTGCAGGCAATTGTTGTGTTGACGGTGAGCACTTGTGGGATCCACTTCCCATCACAAAAGGGTCTGGCCGTGGCCTTTCAAGCAACAAAGCGCGGGAGCTGCACCCGCATGATCTCTTGTGTTCAGTGTTCTGTGATAGCACGTGTAGGGACACGCAGGCTGTGAGTCGAAGTCGTTTGTTGTCGGGGCGGGCCATGCGTGCCATGACTCGCGGCGTGACAAAACCACGATGATCCCGAACTTGCAGCTCACCGATTCAGCTGCTGATGCCCCCGAGAAGCCTGGTACCGGCACGTCCCCAAACCAGCCGAGTGGGGAGTCTGGGCAAGAGCATGTCAAATTGAGCCTCGGCGGCATCCAGCTGGCTCCGGCTTTGCAGCTGTTTGCTTGCTTGCCATATATGTACGACCTTTCCTCAAGTGGCTTCGTGGTGCATCTCCCCTCCTCAAAGACGGGGCAACTATGAATAAGGGTCGTCGGGTTTGTAACGACTCGCCGATGCCTTCAGGATGGACCGTTGGCCCGACCACGAGGTTTCTGCCCAAAGGCTGCGAGGCAGCATCCACCTCCATGGTGGTGGCAGAGGGCTCTGTGCGGAGGATGATCGCTTCGTGGCTGGCCGGCACGGGCGGAGCATGGGGCTTCGGAGTGGCTTCAGGGCAGTGGATAGGGACCCTAAACGCTAAACCCTAAACCCTATACGAAACCCTTATAGGAGCCCTTATAGTAACCCTTATAGGAACCGTTCTAGTAACCCTTATAGGAGCCCTTCTGAGGTCCAGTTCCGGAAGGCCTTTGTGGATGCCGGGAGGGCGGCCCTGCCTTTCTTCCTGGCCTCCCGCGTGAAGATTGTGGTTCTCAGCAGCTCCTCGGTGTTTTTCCAGTCCTCTTGGGAGACCCTAGACCCTAAACCCTAAACCCTAAACCCCCATGTGGGGAGTTTCCGAAAAGAAGGGGTAACACCTTATTTTGGGGTCCTAAGAATAAGGATCATCGTATTTGGGGTTCTATATTAGGGTTTTCGGGGTCCTTATAATAAGGATCCTACTACTTGGGGTTCTATATTAGGGTCCCCTATTTTTGGAAACTCCCCCATGTCGGTCGGCTGAAAAGATCTTAGGTTGCGGCTGCCGGCCAGACCCGATTTGGCACGAGCAGCCCCCTCAAGACACACAGTGCATGAGAGCAGCAAGTAGAATGGTAGCGAGATATTGCAGGCCTCCGATTCTTGGCCTTAAGGCTCGGGAGCGTGACCGAAGTCGCTCCGCAGAGTCGTGCTGAAGCTGCGGCTGGGACTGCGAGTCATGTTCTCAGCACGTTTCCGGCGCAAAAAGTCCTGGCCAACTTCTGAAGGACTCGGCACAGCTGTCCGAGCTGATCGATGCGGCACAGTGCGTCTGGGTGACAGGTGCCCCGACCTCCCGAACCCCACCCTCAGACGCCCACGAAACCCTAGTGACAAATACGATGTTCGAACTTTTCAAAAGCCTTGAAGATCAAATGAGAGTCTCATAGGTATCCGAAAAGGATAATATGACTACTATACTAAAACTATAATAAGGACCCCCCCAAAAGTGTACTGGTAATTCTTATAAAAGGCCCCTTCTTTTTATTAACGTCTTTGGAGGTGGAGACCAGGGCCAAAACAAATGAGAGTCTCATATGCTTCCGATATGACTATTATGACTCTTCTACGATAATTATAATAAGGAACCTCCCAAAATGGTATGAAAGTCCCTGGAGGTGGAGACCCGGGCCGGCTCCGCGGAGCGCTCGCCGGGACCGGCCTGGAGCGGGCGCTCTCGCGCCTGCTGCGCCGGGGCGGGGCCCTGGGCGGCGCCTCGACCGGGGCCTCGCTGCTCGGCGCGCTCTGCCCGAACTTCGACGAGGTGATGGAGGGCCTGGACCTCGTGCCAGGCGGGCGCGGCGCCTGCGTAAGAAGAAGCCCCACATGTAGAGAGAACTTGGGAAGGACTGCTCCCTGCGCTTTTTTTTGACTCTTTCAGGCGCCACCGTCCTGACCCACCTCTTCAAGCGAGGGCGCCAAGACCGGCTTGCGGTGGCCCGGTCGAATCGGTGCAGCGGCTCTGTATCCCGGGTTCAACAACAGGACGTAGCCTTCGGATCAGCTTTCAACGATAGTACTGTAAAAACCCTTTTGTCAGAAAAGGGGCATCTTTCGACCACAGAGGCCTAGCAACCTTGAATCCTAGCAGGCTTATCGCAAGTCACATGCAGCAACGAACCTGCGAGCTTCCCAAGAGCCCCTGAAGCCCAGTCTCACGATGCCTACTTAAAGCATGGCATGACTCAAGCAGAATCCATGTCTGATCCTCAAACAATCGCTGAAGCCTGACATTCCCAAACCCTAGACTTCAGCCCTAAACCCTAATCCCAAAGCTTTAGCCCTACACCCTAAACTCCCTGAACCCCTAAATCCTAGACTGTAGCCCTAAACCCCTAAAACCCTAGACCGTAGCCCTAAACCGCTAAAACCCTAGACTGTAGCCTTAAACCCCTAAAACCCTAGACCGTAGCCCTAAACCCTGAAACCCTAGACCGTAGCCCTAAACCCCTAAAGCCCTAGAGCCCCAAACCCCTAAAACCCCAGACCGTAGCCCTAAACCCCTAAAACCCTAGACGGTAGCCCCAAACTCTAGACTGCAGCCCTAAACCCCTAGAGCCCTAGACTTTATTAGCCCAACACCTCCCAGCCTCCCCTCGCCAAGGCCCTCGTCAGCTGCTTCCCGGGTCTCTGGGGCTTCGGTCTCGATGAGGCGGCCGGCTTGGTCTGGAGCAACGAGACGCTCCGCGTCAGCTGCTGGCCGCTCGCTTCGGCTTTTTGGGTTTTGGGGGGGCTTGGGGGGTTTAGGGGGTTTAGGGGGTTTTGGGGGTTTTGGGGGTTCAGGGGGTTTTGGGCGGTTTGGGGGGTTTAGGGGTTGAGGGGGATGGGTTTAGGGGTTGAGGGGGTTTAGGGGGTTTAGGGGGTTGTTCCTTTGGCATTTGGGGCTGTGTTTGGTCAGAGAGGATGTCGCCCGTGTCGCCTTTTTTGTTTTGTTCTGCGGAGGTGTCTCTGCGTCCTGAAACTCCTGTCACTGGCATTAAAGCTTCTGCCAGCCCCAAGACACACTCAAGGTCCCCGGTGCTGGTGCTGCGCAACATCGACGGCCAATGCCTCGGGGCGCTCCTGCAACCGGGCTTCTGCGGAAGCCTCCAGGACTAACCTCGATCGCTTCAGGGCTCCCGCACTTTGCCGCAAAGCCCTGCAGAGCTGTTCGGTTGAAGACTCCTACTAAGTAACCTATATCTATATAGTTTGGGAACCCAAAATAATTCAGATATCTACCCACTACTAGTAAAACCCTCCCCACAGGAGGTCGAGCAGCAGATGCAGGAGTTGGCTGCGATGACTTGGCAGCCCGAGAACATCCAGCTACCAGGATGCCACCTGTGGAACATGTGGCATGCAACGACCTGGCGTTTTCCCTTCTCCGCCCCAACATCTCCCCCAAATTGTATCTTGGAGGAGAGGAGCTGTGGAGCCTGAATTGGGCCGCCAAGCAAGCCCTGGTCGACGGTCCAATAGAGGATGCCGGGGCCCCGGCCTGCAGCTGGAAAGAGTCTGAATCTGACGGTTTTCCGGGGGTCCGAGGTGCAGACGAATGCCGCCTTCAAGGATCTCGAAGGCCGCATGGCCCGGGCCTGTTACCTGCTTAAAGGATCATGGGACTTAGTAAGTAGGGTTATAACTAGGGTACCTATACTTATAACCCCAATTAGGGGACTTAGGCGTCTGGCTTGCAGCGAGTGC